AAATTGCGAAAATAGGTTTCTTAGCATTTTGCTGTAGTATCGTAAAGAAGGGTTTAAATCTCGTATAAAAACATGCTACATATACGGTTTTTTTTTTTGGTATGAAGAGTTCATTTTTGCACTTCACTTTTTCCGAAACTTCCACCAGAGGGCGCAACAGTGAAAATTTTCCCATTTTCTACGAAACCCATTTTCGCCATTTGACGAACTCCAAATTTAGTTTGGACCCATGGCCAATTTGCTTAGAATTACACGTTGAATCCTCCTATGCTATACGCGAATAGTAAAAAAAAAAAAAAATTTACCCGCCCTAATACATGTATTTATATTCACTTTGATTTTAAGTAAATTTTCGGTCACGAGCGAGTTTTATTTGCCCAAACACTATCAACACCCTTTTTAGCATCATTCAAATGTTTCGTCCTTAATTTGACCGTTTGCCCTTAATGTGCCCATTTTCCCACCTTAAAGTACTAGCCTCCTTGTTTAATATTTTTGCTTACAATCTTATGTTTCGCACTTTTGTAAGGAGACCATTTTTCAGGGGAAGTGTCGATCTACTTTTGGCTCGCTTAATTTTTATTTTGGCTCAAGAGTTGTTCTTATTCTTGCGCTGCGCTCTTGAAAAACGGAACGAAATTCATAATCGGCCCATCGCGAATTTCACACGAAAAAACATTACCAAAAGTTGTTTTTGGTTTGCATGTTAAATAATGGAAACGATTTATTCACATGGAATCGGCCCTGATTATATCTTTTTCACGGTTTTTTGGTCGCATTTTTCCTACTTTCTCAAGCGTAAAATTTGGGTGTCAATATTTCATAAATAAATACCAGTGAATTCCTGTGTTCAGCTCACTCGTTGAAGTTTATTATATTATTTTTAGTTCACCAGTTTTTTTTTTGCTCACGAATTTCTCTTAAGAAATTAACTTTTTTTTTAAGAAACCGAGAACAAAGTTATGATCGAAACGAAATGTGGTTCCCGTAGTTTTGTTCCCAAGAACGCTTAAAAACTCAAACCGAAATGAGAACAAAAACTTAGGGAGTGTTTTTACAAAAACGAAAGTGAGAACAAAACTTTCGAGAACGTTCCCAACGGGAATTATATAGAGATCGAAATTGGAACAAACGTCTTCGGAACATTCTGGCAAAGAACAAAACGGTAAAAAAGTCGAAGGAACTTTCTATCGAAGAACAATTTGGGAACTAAAGTCTCAAGGACTTTTGATAGTTTCTTCATTAGAATTCTTATTTGTTCCACTCTCCAGGACAGAGAGAGTGAAAGTTAGGGTGGTTTTGCCTCAGATTGTCATTTTCCCTTGTATATACACTTTTCTTTTGCTTCCAAAGTGACTACATTTATATGAAATTTTGTTTGCTTGCAAAATCTAATTTTTGTAATTAATAAAATTTTACGTGTTTGGAATGCACAGGGAATGGCAATTTTTTTTGGTAAAAAAATTCACCTTTAAATATAAGTTTGCTGACTGAGTGAGTATCTCAAACTTTTAGAGTGCCAATTTCGGATCTTTAATATGTAATTATATTTTGTTTTATGAAAGCTATGCATAAAAAATGATCTTAAATTTTTCGAGTACACTTTTTTCATTTTATGCTCAATAAATTTTACGATTAAAATACTCGAGCGAATTTCATGAAAATACTTTACCTCTCATTCCAGCAATAACCGATATTTCAAGCTTACTTAAGCTACCTTTTTTTAAACAAACATTGGTACAGTCGTACAGCGATAACTTGCACTTTCTCTACATAAAGAAAAAAAAAAAAATCGGAGCTTACGTTCGCTTTAGGTTTTTTTTTCGCTGCTTAAGCTCAACTTCTGTTGGCGCGCACCTTTGTTGCACCAAATCAACGTTCAAGCCAGCGAGTGTCTACTGTACCAACAGTAAATTTTTTGTATAACGATAATTCATACATAAGTACATATGTATATGTAGATACACTTATGAAATAACATCAGCCTTAAATTTATGCACCTATGCAATTCTTCTTGTAAGTATATAAAGACGAAGAAGAAACTTTAAAATCCTTAATTTCACAATTTCTAAATTCAAATGCAAACAAGTTTCAAAGAATACATACATATGGAATTACGAGAGTATTACGTTAATATTTTTTTTTTTTGGTTGGATGGGTTATATGTAGCAATATTTTGGTTTTCTTAATTCCGTAATAAATACACATATTTTGGTTCAAGACTTTTTGTTGATTGAGTACTTAATTTTTTTTTTTTTCAAAATTTCTTGTTAAGGCATCAATTACATACATTTTTCAAGTCGATTTAATTTTCTTCTTACTGGTTAGTCTGCATACGTTCATTCGATTTTTTATTTTTTTTTTTTTTTTTACTATTTACTATATGCTCTGAATTACGGTTTTCGCAAAAACTTGTAAGCCTTAGTTTATTACTTAAAAGCAAAACGATTTTAAATACTTGGGTTAGTATGCAGGAATTGTATTTATGTATAAATTCTGAGCTTTTATTGCGTGCGGTACATGCATATGTTTGGCAAAGGTAATGAAGTGGTTATGGAAAAGTTGGCATATTTGGAGTAATGAGCCGTTGAAAATCGTTTGACGCATACGGGTGTATATATTTATGATTTAACTATTGATTTTAACGATTTTGTGACTGCGTGAGCTTCTTGTTTAAGTTGTTATTATGATATAAGCTTTTAACCGCTTTCGAGCCATATTCAGCGTACTTCATTGCACTTATTTGCTATTCAGCACCATTAATATCTGCCTAAGATAGTCGCTTTTCACTTTAACTGTCTTATTTTTGCTTGATTTTAATTTTAAAATGTCATTAGTCTCATTCAGCGCAATTAAGCGTGAACCTAGACGCGTTTTTTTACGCCGTCTTTTATAGTCACATACAAAGTAGCTTTTTTTGCAATTCAGCTCATTTAGCTGCTATTCAGCGCCTTATACTAATGAGTGTAATGTTGGATTTGGCTGCACGTTCGCACACTAAGCCCGAATAAGCACTAGCAAGGCCCATATAGACTTGCAATTCTATAACAGTTCATCGTTTGCTTATCGATTACTCTATCATGCGCATAATACAATTCAGCTCGCTTATGTTTGAATTTTGGTTGTAAGCACATTCATATTTGCATGGTATTTATTTGTTTAGCAATATTCAGCGCATTTAACAGCAATTCAGCACATTATTTATGCACTTTTTACATGTACGAATATATTCCCTAAATATTTGCATGCACATTAAGGTCGATGAAGCCTGTTAGAGTGATTGCATGTAACTAAATGCTGACTCGAATTTTTATGATTAAGGATTTACTAAAAAGAGAGTGATTACTAGATACGCTTGGCTGTGCTGACAAGGTATATGCTTATGATTTGTAAGACTTGAAATGGAAAAGTGATTATCAGACAAATATATGTATATATCTGTACTCATATTTATATAATACGCATTATATATTTTATACGCTAAGGCTATTTGTATACTACGTCGGATTGACGCGTAGCCTAGACCGAAATACTTGTTAAGTTCGCTAAGTTTTTGGGTACATCCTCTTGGGGCTGCACGCTGTGATTTTTTATGTAAAAAGTGGAAACCGAAAATTTTACAATAGTTGCCATGGAAACGACAGAGCGTCACTTTATAATACTCAATTGTGAAGAGATAAGTCCTGCTGTCCTCTACAGTCCTCTTCTTGACTTCCCATCAGCGCTCTACCTTATTCAATTTTCCATTTATGATTTTCGCAGCTATGGCCACGTTTTCGCCCGCTTACAGCCTATATTCGTAATGTGCTGAACGCGAGCGACGTGCGCCCGAGTACCACCTATAAGGGAGCTGTTGCATTGAGTTTTGCACCGGCGCGGAGAGTTGCTGCTGCTGCTGCTGCTGTGGCGAATTCAACGACAATGAACTGCTGACCAACGCGCCGGGGCTGCGCGCCAATTGCAGCGCAGTGGTTGGAAAGCGTGTCGCGCTGCCCTGCTAGGAGGATGGTGGCGTGGTTGCTGACATGTCGCTGGTGTGGCGCCTCGATATGCGCCGGTTAAACAGCGATATTGTCGATTGGTTGATGTAGCCGCTAGTGCTGCCGCCAACGCTGCCGTTGTTGCTGTTACTGGTGTTGATACTGCCATTGCCGCTGCTGGCGTCCAGAAACGCTTCTGGACTGAACCGCACGCGACTGTGCTGCGACGAAATGGAACCCTCTTTAGCACTCAGATACGAGCTGTCATCGCTGGTGAGCGAGTCGGGTGGTGTCGGATTGGTGGGCGTGCCCTGTTGTGAAGAGACGCTGCCCGTACGTTTGGTTACGCTACCGCCGCCGTTTCCGCCACTTATCACCGAAAGACCATTGCCCGCATTAGCGCCCATATCGGCTGCACTCATTGTCGTCCCGGCCGTGCTGGTGCCATTTGGCGTCTTGTAACTATTGTATTTTTTAAGCGATGAGCGCAGTTTGCTAGCACCGCTTCCGTTGAAGCCGAGTGCCGTTGTTGTTGTCTGCTCGAAAGGAAGAGAAGCTGGGCGCTCTTGCGCGCTCATTGGTTTCATATGAATCGGACTAAGCGGCGTCGACTGCGTGTGCGTATAGAGGCTATGTTGCGGGGTGCTGAAAAGCGGGTGGTGCTGCTGTTCGCGCTCCCGTTGCAGCTGTTGCTGCTGCGCTAACGTGTTGTGGAACTTGGGTCTATGCAGGGGACTGCCGATGTATGCGGGCACATTCTCATAGTCGCGTATGCGATTCAATCCGCCGCCGGTCTCGCAACCCATGCTGCCGCTGGAGCCCCGCTTTAAACGCTGCGTCATTTTGGGCGAACTCTTATAGAGCTCGTGCTTGCTAGGCGGCGGTACCACGCCAACCGGAGCGGGAGGCGGTGGCGCCAGTTCGCGATAGTGCGTATAGTCCGGAGCACTGCCTACGATAGCCCCACCGGCGCCCACATTGATGTTTAGCTGCAGATTAAGGTTGCTGTAGTCGTACAAATCGGCGTTTGCATGCAGCTCGTCCTGATCGAAAGAGAAGCCTTGGTTGATGTTGGAGCTATTCGAAATGGTCGAGGGTGTGCGACGATGGCCAGCGGCGCTGACGCCCATCTGAGGCACGCGCGGAGGCGGAGTGCGCGTTTGGTAGTGCTGCTGTTGATGTTTTGGCGTGACTTGCTGCTGCTGTTGTGAATCGTAATTGTAGTCGTAGTAGTTAGGCAGACGGTGATTGTAGTCGTAGGAGTAGTCGGGATAAGATTTGCAGTCGCGCTGGTAGGCCAGCTGTACCTCTGGCCGGTACGGAAAATAGTTGGAGCCTGAATGGGAAGAAGTTATGAATCGAATGCGAATCATTCGTGTGCATGTAGACTTACCGAAGTAGCCTGCGCGGTGTACACCTGCGCCGTAAGCGCCGCCGTCATTGGAAAAGCTCGGTCCATGGCGCAAGTAGTCTGCGCGCGTATATTGCGTGGCGGGCGGCGCCATTCCACCGCCAATGTGAAAGGCGTCATCAAAGTGCCGCGTCGGAGGCGTGTCATCGTGCATCGAGTACTCGAGTTGCTCCGTGAACGAAGAAGTGCTGATCTTGCGACGTGGTGAAGGCGTCGGTGGCTGTGTGTGGCTACCCAGCGACGATGACAGCAGCGCCGAGGTGTTGTTGGTAAAGTTCGATCCCAAGCCGCTGGTAGTGGAGCCGGTAAGCGGCAGTTGCTGGTGCTGCTGTGTTTGCTTCTGTTGTTGTTGTTGCTGCTGCGCCAGCTTACTTCCGGCGTCGGCCAAGGGCAGCGAGTGCTTTTGGAAGTAATAGTTAGGCGCGGCATGCATTTTGGGCGAGCCGCGCGGACTCTGATGCAAGGGGGCGCGCTGTTCCTCTAAGCGCGCGAAAGTGGCGGCGTTCAGTGTGGCACTGTTATTGAAAATAAACAAAATACAAGAATGTGTCATTAGATAGTGAAGTTGCCACTCACCGTTGGTGCTTATTGCCAGTGCCGTGGTAAGTGTTGGCCGCAAAGCGACTGCGCTCATCCAAAACGCTCGGAAACTCCATTTCCATAGGCGCCTTCAGAGCGGGCACATCGCTCAGCAGTGACGGATGCACCGGTGATACGTTCGAGATGCGCACATCGTAGCCAGCGGCGACGCCAGCCAACAGCGCGGCCATATTGTAGAGCAGCACCTCGATGACGGAGAGCTTTGGCTTGCGCACTGCGTCGCCTGCATACAGCGTCGGCATGGGAATGTTGGAAGTAAAGCGGCTGAGCAGGTAAGGGTTTGGCGACATAATGGGCAGCGGCGCGTCCATGATGGTGCTGCTTGCACCTACGGTGGCGGCAGTGGGCAGCGCATGCAATGGCGAGCACCAGTCTTTGGCATTGTAGCCTGAGCGCGTTAAGGAAGGCAGTGAAGTGAGAAAAGTGTAAAAGTTGTAATTGTGTGAGAAGAGAAGTGAAAAAGGGGGAGGCGGCAAGGAGACGGTGGCCAGCAGTGGAGCCGAACCGCAGACAAACCAAGTTGTTAGAAATCAAAATGTGAAATTCAAAACCAAAATGAAAACTAGCCAACACCAAGGAGTAAGGAATAAAACTCAAGGTTAATTGTAAATAAAACTAAAATACAGACTATTTATTGTTTTTTAAAATTTATTTTAGTGGTTTTGTATTATAATTTTTTTTTTAGAAATTTTCGTGGGATTTTCAGTATTTTTTTTTGCTTTATGGTATAAAATGGAATATTTTGCGTAGCTTAAATTTTTGTTATAGAAAATTCTTTAAATATGCTAAAAATTACATTAAAAATATAGCGGTATGTTGCAATAATTATGGTACGCACTGTAGAATAAACAAAGTCAAGTCTAAATAACTTAGGTAAACAAATTGCGGAATTTAACGACAGAAAAAAATTAAAACAAATAAAAATTTTTACAAAAATGATAAAAAAAAAATTCAAAGCTGAATAATCTATGAAATAAAACAGTAGTGGGTTTAAAGAGTCATCGGCCCGTGCGGCGGGGGAGAAGTGGCTTATTTGAAAAAAGAAATCCATATATATATTAACTTTTGGCTCAAGCCCGAGTTGAAATAAAAACACCCAATATAATTACCTTCCTAGTTTAGCAGCCGCAGCCTAATGTTCTTGCTGTTGACTTCAGACTGAAGTGGAATTATTGATAAAATAAAACTCAACCAAATTGTATAGTGTTTTATTTCAACCAGGCCTTCAGCCCAACAAAAGATAATATAATATTCAATTGACGGCTAAATATGGATGTATATAAAATGTTAATTCATACAAAAATCTATTACGAAAAAAAATGTGTTCGATGGGCAGATAAATTTTGAAACCTATTTGAGAAAACGGCACTTTAAACTAAAAACAATAATTAAAAGGTGTATAATTACAAAAAAATTTAACACTAAAACAAAATTTTGTTTTCTGAAAATAGAAGTTCAAAATTAAACAACAAATGAAAAGGAAATGCCATTGAAAATAAACAAAAAAAAGTTTGGAAAAGCCCTTTCGCCGCTTAGCCGAGACTCAGAAATCCAAGACAAAAATATTTTCGCTTCAAACCATTTTTTTATCCGAAATTTAAATAGAAGTCTATAATATATATATTTTTTTAATGTTTAAGAAATAACATTTTATATAAAGTAAAATAATACGCAGTTAACGCCAATCGTTTCGTTTTGGTTATATGTTTCGGTAATAAATAATTTTGGGGCAATAAAAAAATATCTCTACTAACAGCAGATTTTCTTTTGCAATTTCGTGATGTTGTCTATAGCGGATTGGCGCTGACAAATAAAAACCAAAACCCAACAATAAAATTAAATTAGAAAAAAAAATGTTTCACCAAAACTGGCCTGTAGCTCAAATACAATTAATAGTTAAATCACATAAAAAAGTTAAAAAAAAAATTATTAAAGACGTATACATTTTAGGCGCATATAAGAAATTTTGCAATTGAAAAATTGGACATTTTGCACAGCTTTTACATAAAAAACAACAAATTTTCTTTACTTTGTTTCGTTTTGTGATCACAGTTTTTCTAAAAAAAGAAAAATACAAAAAAAAAGGAAAAAATAAAAAAAATACATCGATAAAATTTCTAAAAATATGCAACAGGTTGCCTTCATCAAATAGAAATGTTTGGAAAATATTTTTTTACATACAAAAAATAAAAAAGGAGATAAATAAGCTACATTTTTTTACTTAAAAATTATGCGAAAATTGCAGCGCCAACTGTATTGAATTGTAGAGAAATATATATGTAAACGCGGTATTCCGCACCAGAGCTGTGTGGCGTGCATGGCTGAGGGAATACGGTGGGCCCGCTACACATTTTTTCTTTGTATGTTTGTATGCATGCATAATCGAGTAATTTACACGCCTAAAGAACGTGTAAATACACAGCTATTTGCTAACAATGAATGGATTTCTCCGTTTTTCCGAAGCACTCAAAGTCTTATATTTTAAGCTTAGATCCTATTTTTTTTTGTTTGTTTTTGTTATGCTATAGTTTAACTTAATTGAATACAATTGTATTTGCATTTCATATTTCCAATAATTCGCCAACATTTCCGTTGCATTTTTACTTTTATAAAAACCTTTGAAAAGGCGCGGCATCATTCGCCTGGCTATTTAGCGCTCGTTTGTTCAAATTCTCCACGGCCTCGTTGCCGTGGTGAGTATGTTTGTTTGCTTTTTGCGTTTAAAAATAAATGCATAGAAAGGCACATACACCTTACGCTTAAATATGCGCTTATGCGCAAATGGGACTCGGGGGCATCTTTTTCTTGGTGAATAAAATTACACAGTCTCCGCTCAACTGTGTATTTTGTCTGGGTGGCGAAAGATTTATTCAACCTTACGAGATTTTCACCACAGTGAACTTTTTCAAAAATGCATCGTTTCCATTATTTTGGCTTTCACACTTCAGCACCGGTTCAAAAAGCCCTCTTTTGAATTGATTCCTTTTAAGTTTTAATTATCGCATCCCTTAGGGCTCTCAGTAATTCCTAAACATCGCTCTACCTTCAACTCACTCTAGCAGTTTCGCCCGCCACACTATACACACTCTAACTGCTCGCAGGACTTCGCCTTCGCCTTCGACTTGCCGCGCGTTTCGTGCACAAACTCCGAATTTGCGTTTTCAAATAATTTGTATTCGCTCTCTGACTTCTTCTTGCGTATTGTAAAGTAATTCAGTATGCTCTGCATTTTGTGCTGGAAGGAGGCCGATGATGTGCCAGGCTCCTTCGCCGCCTTGCTGCTACTGCCGCTCTTCTTCGCCTGCATATTGTGCTTGCGCGCCTTCGCCTCCTGCGCTAACAGCAGACTTTGCTGCATGCGTAACACTTCCGGCGCCGGCTGCACATCCTGCAACTTTAAGCCATGCAACAGTGAGTTCTTAGTTATGCTAGCTTTGGTTGTTGCTGCTACGGTGGTTGGTGTTGTTTCCGGCGTTGCACTGCTGAGGAATTGCTCGGTGTCCGTGTGGAAGTGCGTCACGTCCGCATCGTTGGAGTTGAAGGTCGTTGAGAAGCTAAAGGAATGATTGGCAGCGTTGTTCGTTTGGTCATCATTGGAGGCGCACGAGTTGCTTTGCGAGGCGGACGAGTTCAGCTGGAAGGTGACGGACGATTTGCGCGATGTTTGCGCCGAGTTTGTCGTGTCAATGGAGGAGGATTGATCGGAGCAAATCGAATTGAAATGTTCATCGCCAGAATTCGAGCGGAATGAAGCATTTTGTGAGGCGCCACCGTGAGCCTGTGTGGGCGCATCCTCTACCGATTCGCCGGCGTTCGAAGGCTGCCGGAAGAAGCACTGACGTGGGAATTGCGAGCCAGAAGCATTGCGTTGAAAGCGGTAGGTGGGCTCGCTGTCAATGACCTCCTCAGTGAGCCGCGAAGTCGAGCTGTATTTGGTTAAATCGCCGCTCGATTTGGAGTTGAGGCGCTCGGTGCGCTGGCTGCCAAAGCGACTGCCCGCCGGGACCGTTGTGAACATTTCTTCCAGCGACTTTTGCATTTCATGATAGAAGGCGCGATCGTAGGTTGGGTCGTTCGGCTTGGTAATAAGGTTGGTGGAGCTGCTGGCGACGCTGGTGCTGTGCAGAGGTTGCGGTGCCAGCTCGTCAAAATCAGACAGCAGCATAACGATCGGCAACATCTTCGTCTGCTGTTGCTGCTGTACGCGTTTTTGTATGCGCTCGATGGCCGACAGTTCGCTGTCGAGTGAAAGCTTCTTGCGGCCCACGGCTGGGCTGTTCCCGAGGCTGCTGAAGCCGCTGATGGCGTGCTCAGATAGAGGTGAGCGGTCGTGGTATGCATACGGCGACATTGGCTGTTGCGACGCTGGCGACACCTTGCGGAATGGAAAGCAGCTGACGGTGGGCGTGGGAGGTTCGGTGTCTGTGTCGCTCTGGTCCGAAGCCGCATAGTCAGGCGCTGGCGGGAACTGGTACTGCCAGAGCGACAGAGGTGGACAGGGATAGTGCGCTGCCACATCTAGACCATCCTCTTGGCTACGAGCCATTGCCGGCGGAGGGTGGGGGCTTGGATGCCGCGTTAAATGCTGCTGTTGCTGGTGGTGAAGTTGTTGCGCCTTCAGCTTTTTATTACTACACAAGCTGAGACTCTTCAAACTAAGCGCGCTGCCCGAGTCCTTTCTACTACCGCTATTGTTACTGTTATTGTTATGGTTGTTATTGTTACTATGATTAGCGTTATTCCTACAGCTATGGCTATTATTTTGGATCAGTGTACTAGTACTGGTATTACTACTACTATAGCTATTCGTATGGTTAAAGTTCTGATTGCTGTTGTTGCTTTTATTATGAATGGCCGGGTCAAATATGAAGTTGTTGGTGGCAAAATTGCCGCTATTGTTGCTATTGCTGTTACTACTCGAATTACTGTTACTATGATGTTGAGATGGCTGATGAAGCTGATGCGAATGCGGATTGCTGTTATTTTTGAAATTTATGATTGAAGTGGCATGAGGATGTTCGTTTGAATTATTCAGTAAGGGGAATGTCACCAGCGATGTGTTGCAAGATTTTGAGCAAGGCGATGAGTTCGACTTGTTGTTGTTATTGTTGTTTGCGGACGTTGCCGTCGGTGTAGTTGGTGTTTGCGTCGGTGTTGTATTGCTACTGTTGTTGTTGCGTTTGTAATTCCTTATAAAACAAATACCTGACTCGTTGTAGCCGAGACAAGCATCAGACCCATACGTCGTCGGCGAAGTGGGCGAGCACGGCATCGAACCGAATTTATAGTCGCAGTGATGAGCGTGCGGATGTTTGCGGCGATGATGGTGCGGCGAATGGCGATGATGGTGATGGGGATGCTGGTGGTGTTGCTGATGCTGGTGATTATGATGAACATAGTGCAGTTGGTTGGGTCGCACAGGTTTCTTGTCGAGATTGGGTGCACTCTTGCTAAAGAGGGAACTGGTCGAGGCTGGGCCGGGCCATTCGGTGGCAAGCAGTGCAGGCAGGTGGGGACGCTCGCGCTGGTGCACTGTAGAGGGGCCCCATGTCTTGCCTTTATAGCCGTCTGGTGGCAGTTGCGGCGGTGTAACTAACGGCGTTGTATGTGGAATTCGGAATTAAAAGAAATGAAAAAACAAAAGAGAAATAAAAAATTAAAAAATTATGATAAAAAACAAAGGAAAATTAAAAACAACTTAAATACTAAAAGCTAAAATAAATGCCAACTAAAATTAACTAAAAATCTAAGAAAGCCGTTAAAAAAAATTTTGAAAAGGCAAGGAATTTATAAGACTATGTTTAGGGCCTTTGGGGATTATACGGCATAAATTCGGTGGAAAAATGATATGAAAGTTTGATTATAGCAAAACTTCAAAACTTAAACTGTTTGACTTGGAACGCCTTTTGTGTCTCGATTTTCTTTTATTTTACCCTAAATTGTTGAAGAAATAGTATACTTACGTGCCACAATGCGTAGCTGGGAAATCGCTGGCGAACCAGGTGGTGTATCAGTCAAGGGTTTGTCGTGTATCGCCGTTACCGTATGCCGAAAGTCAGTTGGTAATGAGATTTGCACTTCGTTCTTTTTGAGAAGCTGCAAGAAAATATTTTCCATTTTAACATTTTTGCGAAGAACACTTCCAAATTTTTTTAATAAATAGAGTTTTTTCACTCATCCAAATTTACTAAAAATTTAAAAAAGTGTTAACTCCGCCCCTTTAATGCCCGCGACAAAACGATAGCACCTCAACATTTTCAACAGTTTTGACTATTTATCTTTTGTTTGTTTAATGTTTATTATTTTTAAATAAAAGTAAAGCTCTTTACCTAACAAATACCATATAAATCAAAATTTCAGACTATGTAAAAAAATATGAAAATTCCACAAACTTTTTATCCCAATTCCAAGCATTTTCATTTTAATTTCTAGTATTTTAATTTGGTATGCAGTTTTATAGCTTATTAAGTTCTAGTATAATAAATTTCAAAATTGAAGTTACTAAAAAATCGTGTTGATTTTTGATAATTTTTTTTTTGCTAACGGTATAACGCAATTTCTTCCATACAAAGTAATTTTTTATATGGAAAAAAGTGCATACCATCGTCAGAAAAAAAAAAAAATTGTCGAAAATCAATGCGATTTTCTAGCAACTTCAAACTGTTTATTATACTAGATTTTAATGAGCTATAAAACTGCGTACCAAAAGTTTGATTAGAAATTCTAATTAAAATACTTGGAATTGGATGAAAAAAATGTGGCTTTTTTTTAATTTTTGTGCAGTTTGAAATTTGGACTTATATGGTTTCGTTAGATATGGAGCTGAACTTAAATAAAAAATTAATGAACCTTAGAAAAAGCAAAAGAAAAGTAGTAAAAACTGGTAAAAATGTTGATGTTCTATCTTTTGTCGCGGGCTATATGTATATTGGAATTTTTCTCTACTGCCTTTTGAGGATAAGAGGTGAACAACTTTCATATTGTGCTTACCTTGAGTTTCACTTTGCTAAATTTGCCACGTCTTCGATTCGGTGTGGGAGTATGCTGTGCGATCTGCAGCTCACGCCCAATTAAAGCCATTTCGCGCAACTTCAAGTGCTCAGCGAAGCGTTTCAGATTCATGGCCTGTTCGTCCTGTTCGCTTTGAACACGGTTCAAGCGTTCCTCTTTGGTGCGCAATTCCTGTGAAAGATAAGAATAGAAAGTCAATGCTAAATGAAGTAGAAAGTAAAATTAAAAAAAAAAAAGGAAATAGGAAGAATTGTACATGCAAGCATTTTTGCTTGACAGGTAAATTTTTACCAGTCATTTGCAGAAAAAGCACAAAAATTAAAAATACGTTAATTGTAAAATGACAGGCACTTTTCAGAAGAATACACAATTTGGTGCATTTCTTTTGACCAAATCGTCGTTTCAAAGTGTTTTTCACGTTTTTTTTTTATGTTCGTGCATATTATTTGCATATTTGTGATCAAATCGTTAGCAATAAAGGCATTAGCAAAATAAACAGAAAATCTCCAACATGCAACGTAAATAAGAAACAGTTACATTTAAGTTATAACACAAAAAAAGTATGTCTTGCTTCGCTATCGTAATGAAACCCAGCCCAATAGCAATTTTATAGTTTTTATGTTTAGCAAATAGTCGGCAAGAAAATATAACGTCTTGCTTACCTCTTCGATTGCTTGGAAACGCTGTGTGGAACGTAATCAAATGAATCAGAGAATATATTACGATTTGTTCAAATATGCAAACATTTTATAGAAATGTGCGAAGACACAACTAAAAACGTATAAAGGACAAGAACGTAGCCTCACAAACGTAACTGAAAACTACAAGTTACCGGAAATTACATGAAAATAAACTATGCGCGTCTAAAGAAATACGCGCCACAACTCTCAATTTTTCCAATTAATACATTACAACAATCAAATTTAATCGGTTATTAAAACCTATACAAATTGTTTTTATAAATACTTCGCTTTCTCTGCTTTTGTTCGCTTTTTGTAGACGCTTACCTTTTCTTTTAAGCGCAACTCGTGAAGCACCTCGGCTATCTCTTTCTTCCAGCCATCCTGCATCGTGTTGAACGACTCCTGTGGTGTTAGCGTGAAACCTGAACGTGCAATATCCTCCAGCTTTGTTAGTATATCCCTGAAACCCGGACGCTTGTGCGGATCGTTCTCCCAGGAGCCTAGAAGTGAAGTAGTTTTCAATTCCAAATATTTTCAAATTACAAATTCTGATGTGTACATACTTTTCATGAGTTTTCCCCACGCCTCCGGGCAAGTTTTCGGGATGGGTAGCGTTAGCATATTAACCGCAATTCCAAATACAACTGAATACGAATCGAAACCTTTGTAGGGCGTTTCACCGGTAATGAGTTCCCACAACAGCACACCGTAGCTCCAAACATCCGAGGATCTATAAAAATAATATGTAATGTTGGGGTATAAATAAATATGAATTCCACTGTAGGAGGAATATTCCGCTTACTTGGAGTATATGCTGCTTTTTATCACTTCCGGCGGCATCCAAGCATAAGTGCCCGCCGTTGATATGCGTGTCGTGTTGTAGAGTTCGCGCGCCAAACCGAAGTCGGTGATTTTTAACGTTTTGTTGTGCAAATTGCCTCCGATGATTTCTTCCAAAATTAGCACTACAGAAGTATAAACAAATAAATACATCACATATGCGTACGTTTAACTAACCAAAAAATATGCCGATAAAGAAAAATATTCGGATATTCGATAAATAAACCATATTGCGCAAATAAATCTATAGTAAGATTCCAATAATCTGATTTGCCCAGTATTTCTGTTCCAAACTTCAATTTCGTGGAACTTGCCTTGTGATGACTTCCAGTTATAGATATGAATGTATACATATGTACATGTTTGTCAATGAGTTATAAATCGAACAATCACATTTATTGAACATTAGCAATAAAACCATGCTGATTGCGTTATCAAGAACAAATCAACTATTACATTGGGTTTTATCCCCACCATGCCTCCAATACTCTACTAAACCATACTTACCATTTGAGCTCTTCAAATCGCGGTGTATAATCGAAATGGGCGCCTCGTTGTGCAGATAGTTCATGCCGCGTGCAATTTGTATCGCCCAGTTGACCAGCACGTCTGGCGGTATTTTGCCACGTGCCAAAATGTGATTCAAACTACCGCCACGTGCATACTCCATAACAAGACAGAGATCGGGAGGCTTTAGGCAGACACCTCGCAGCGCCACGATGTTCTCATGCTTGACCACCCAGAATAGTTTGGCTTCTTGTAGCACATTATCGCGGTTGGATTCGACGTCGGGCCCAGCCTGCGGTGCCACTTTTATCGCAACCTCTTCGCCATTGTAGTAACCACGATGCACTTTGGAAAAGCCACCAGCACCGATAACTTCGCTCACTTCCAGTTCGGCATAGTCGATTTCATGCGGTTGTATATCGCCAATGGCAGAGGGCACGTCTGGCATCATGGGATCTTGGTCTGTCACAAAGTTACTCGGAAAAATGCCAACCTGTGTAGAGAAAAGGGGTGTTAAAACTCTAGAAAAAAAATTAAATTATTTCCGACGACGTGAAAAGAAATAATGTAAATTAATTTTTATTTTAAATGAAAAACGCAAACTTCCCAAGCAAAAGATTTAAGTTTAAAACAAATTAGTTTGAAAGTGAGCTGGAGGGCTGAAATTACATTACGGAGGTCTGCTACGTAAAGCCTTAACATATGTCTAAGGGGCGCAGGTGACTTAGAAGACAACCTGTGAGCTAAAATATACTTAGTTTCGCCCTATTTTTTTTTTTTTAAGGAAATTTTGGTATAACCTAATAATAAAAAATAAGTTCTATTAATAAAAAATACAACCACATTTATTTAAACAACAAAAAAAAAAGGTATTTTTGTGTTCAAATTAAAAAAAATCCCGATTCCATATACGCCTCACAGGCATAGACTTGGCTTTTAGGGTTAATTATGGAACGATAGAAATTCGGACATTTGAGATTAAAACAATATCCAATAGATGAATATGTTCTTCAGCCATTTGAAAATAAATTGATTGGTCATTATTTAATAAATCTTTTACAAAAAAACTTTCTTCATTGAATACATTAAAAAATCTCAGTAAAGTAGTATGCCTAAAATAGCCACCACAGATGCCGATAACGGTATTTAATTCAGCAGAGATAACGTTTAGATAAATACTAGTGCTATTGCTCTTATCAATGTTTCGCAGCGAAATAAGCAGTTGGTGGAGGACGACGGAGCAGATTACATTTTTTTCATTGCGATAAAAATTACTTTCAGCACAATAAAGCAATGCAAAGACACACTAATAAAATACCGAAGAAATGCCAAAACATCGCTTACGAGCAAATAAGATTGTGTATGACGTCATAGTATTACTTTACTGCTGCAATATCGCAAAGTTTTAATTTATCACAACATTATTTATTTAAGGGAAAATTAAGATGCGTACAGAAAATGAATTTATGGTTTCCAACAAATAAATATGCAGAATGGGTTACATCTCGGACTACCACCTACCTTATCACCAATTTTGCCCGTCCACCAGCCCTCATCGCCCGAAATATTGCTATCCATTGAGAGCACTACCACAATCTGCCCCCGTCGCAACGTCAGCTCATCCTCGCCTTTGGCGTCATAGTCGTATAGCACCGTCCACAGCGGGCCATCGGGCAATGGTGGCAACTGCGCTGTATCGTGTGTACTGCTGCTGTTGTTATTGCTGCCAGCAGTTTGTCTGTGTTGCTGTTGGTTGATGCCGCTGGCATTGCCATTAGTGGTTTGCGCTTCACCATTGCCATCCGCATGGTTGCGTTGTGTTGCATGCGACGTTTCCGTGTGCTGTTGCTCCTCGTTGATGGCGAGCATTGGATTGGTTTGCGGCGGCGAGTGCGCTATATTATTGGTTAAACAACGTGCGGGCATATACATAAGTGGTTAACAGGTGCTAATCGAAAAAACAACGAAAAACTAACGCAAAAAAAATGCTGCCAAGACGGAAGAGGTTGCCTAATATCCTCCAGCGGCAGTCGATAATATTTGTGTAGTAAGCGTACTGTGCTTCCACCTTTGAGCAGCCATTCGGTTATAGTGCGGTTTAGATACGCAGCGTAAACGTCGTTAAACTATTGTAAAACAAAACAAAGATAAAATGTTTAGAATAAGTTACAAATGGTGGACATGTGTACGTATGTAGTATATACAGAAGGTCAGTGCATTCGAAAGGTCTATGTCATAAGCATAAAGGCCAACATTCAGCCGTTGGGTTGTAAAAAAATTAAACCAAAAACAGCACTGCAGTGCGGTGGCACATTGCAGAGTCGCTTCCGACCAGCTACAGTAAGAGACCGACACTTGAGATGTACTCGACCCTAATTGCAACGTTGGTAAATACTGCGTCGTTGCAGCCGAGACGATAAAACATTACCTGGTGTCTACGCAATCAGTCTTCTCCCCATTTATTGGTGCTGTTCGATTCACTTAGGTCCGCAGCGGTTCCTAAGCCACACTTTTACTATGTTTTTCTAAAAATTTTAGATTCCGTCTGGCCAGCGGAAACAAAACCTTATTTTTTCACAACTCCACTTTGTGCTTGTTCTTCTTCATCCACTATGTCGTCTTGTTTTACTGCTGTTTCCCTTTCCTTTATACATATGTATGCAGTATATATACAAAATTTATTATTCGTTTGCAAAAAAAATTGTGCGCTCCTGTGAATATATCGCTAAATCTGTTTCCGTATCTCCAGTTACTACTACCAAGGATTAAGATAGTCGCTCCAGCGCTGACCACAGATTCTTATTTTTATCTTTCCCTTGCTTTTTTTTATTTTTTGCTTCGTCGTCGTCGTCGTGCAGCAGAGAAATTACATTTTCACTATTTCATGTGCAGCACTTTGGTTTCGTTCGTTTTTTCGCGTCGTTTATTGTTTCAAATTTTATAAAATTAAGTTATTTCTATTTGTTAATACGCAAGCGTTTTATTTCCGATTAGTTAAATTAAGAATTTATCGCGTTTTTGTGCAAATTCAAGTAATTTGCAATTCTTCGTACTAAGCTGCTGCTTTTCGGTTCCACTTCCACTTCATACACTGGCCTGTCGTCTTTTGGTGATTCCCTTTTGAGCTTTCATTCGCACTTCGCCTTCTGCGTGTTGCCAGCTCGCAGAAAAAAAAATAGGGTTGCATGTTATAATTGTATCAAAATAAGTGATTGAGATCTGTATTACTAGACGCTTTTTCCTCAGGAAGTGAAGTAAGAAATATTAGCGATTAATTAAAATAGGTTGTAGCTTTATTTACCACTTCGCGTAGTGAAAGAAAATAAATTTTTAGTTTCCACTCATTCGAAATTTCACCTGAGTCCGGTGTTTGTCTTTGCTAACAGCTTGACAACTCTCTGACCGTTGCTCGTGTCTGTACTTCCGACATGCGAACCGCCATTTTGCAGCTGTCAACAAGACAGTTCAACATCAGTCAGCATCCGGTACGCGTACGTGAAAGAATTTCCTTTAATAGGTGCAGGCGTTTTTCCTCATTTGGGGCGTAGCAAGTGGTTGGCTGCTTAAAAGTGATTGTGTTGTGTGTAGTGCTCAGTAGCAAAGTCTCCAAGAGGCAGGCATGTGTGGCCACACGATGCTGATTCGGGTAGTGCTCACACATTGCTCTTGCACAGCATCTCTCGCGACCGTCCCACAATTTCCGTGTACAGGATGTGAGCGGCGTGGAGACATTGCGCGGCGCCTGCTCCCACAGCTGAGTTGAGCTGCCAGCTGTGGTCGTCGTCCCTCTGTTGCAGCGTCAGTGTGAAAATTTTGTGTGAAATGAAAATTTGCTCAGTAACGCGCAGGAATTTAACGAAACCGTACACGAAATGCAAAACGATGTCGCGTGTGTGCTACATAGGATCAGCATTCATACAGAAATTTTGGAAAATTTCTGAAATGAAAATTCTGCATTCACTTAAAAATGCGCTCATGTGTTGTGTCAGTGTGTACAAGTGTATGTAAAAAATCAAGTTCAAATCAATGAAAGCAAATGTTCCCTGGAAAAGTTACCAAAAAATGTGTGTGTGTGTGCAAATATTTGCGTGAAAAGGTAAACGAGAAAAA